CTGCTGGATCCTGAACATGGGGTTGTGTGGACAGTGTGGGGTGAGAGTACTGCTGGATCCTGAACATGGGGCGGTGTTGACTGTGTGTGAGTTGAGAGTAATGCTGGATCCTGAACATGGGGCGGTGTTGACCGTGTGTGAGTTGAGAGTAATTCTGGATCCTGAACATGGGGTGGTGTTGACCGTATGTGGGGTGAGAGTACTGCTGGATCCTGAACATGGGGCGGTGTTGACCGTGTGTGGGGTGAGAGTACTGCTGGATCCTGAACATGGAGCGGTGTTGACCGTATGTGGGGTGAGAGTACTGCTGGATCCTGAACATGGGGTTGTGTGGACCGTGTGGGGTGAGAGTACTGCTGGATCCTGAACATGGGGTTGTGTGGACAGTGTGGGGTGAGAGTACTGCTGGATCCTGAACATGGGGTGGTGTTGACCGTATGTGGGGTGAGAGTACTGCTGGATCCTGAACATGGGGCAGTGTTGACCGTATGTGGGGTGAGAGTACTGCTGGATCCTGAACATGGGGCGGTGTTGACCGTGTGTGGGTTGAGAGTACTGCTGGATCCTGAACATGGGGCGGTGTTGACCGTATGTGGGGTGAGAGTACTGCTGGATCCTGAACATGGGGCGGTGTTGACCGTGTGGGGTGAGAGTACTGCTGGATCCTGAACATGGGGTGGTGTTGACCGTGTGGGGTGAGAGTACTGCTGGATCCTGAACATGGGGCGGTGTTGACCGTATGTGGGGTGAGAGTACTGCTGGATCCTGAACATGGGGCGGTGTTGACCGTATGTGGGGTGAGAGTACTGCTGGATCCTGAACATGGGGCGGTGTTGACCGTGTGGGGTGAGAGTACTGCTGGATCCTGAACATGGGGCGGTGTTGACCGTATGTGGGGTGAGAGTACTGCTGGATCCTGAACATGGGGTGGTGTTGACCGTATGTGGGGTGAGAGTACTGCTGGATCCTGAACATGGGGCGGTGTTGACCGTATGTGGGGTGAGAGTACTGCTGGATCCTGAACATGGGGTGGTGTGGACCGTCTGGGGTGAGAGTACTGCTGGATCCTGAACATGGGGCGGTGTTGACCGTATGTGGGGTGAGAGTACTGCTGGATCCTGAACATTGGGTGGTGTGGACCGTCTGGGGTGAGAGTACTGCTGGATCCTGAACATGGGGCGGTGTTGACCGTGTGGGTTGAGAGTACTGCTGGATCCTGAACATGGGGTGGTGTGGACCGTGTGTGGGGTGAGAGTACTGCTGGATCCTGAACATGGGGCGGTGTTGACCGTATGTGGGGTGAGAGTACTGCTGGATCCTGAACATGGGGCGGTGTTGACCGTGTGGGGTGAGAGTACTGCTGGATCCTGAACATGGGGCGGTGTTGACCGTATGTGGGGTGAGAGTACTGCTGGATCCTGAACATGGGGCGGTGTTGACCGTGTGTGGGGTGAGAGTGCTGCTGGATCCTGAACATGGGGTGGTGTAGACCGTGTGTGGGGTGAGAGTACTGCTGGATCCTGAACATAGGGCGGTGTTGACCGTATGTGGGGTGAGAGTGCTGCTGGATCCTGAACATGGGGTGGTGTAGACCGTGTGTGGGGTGAGAGTACTGCTGGATCCTGAACATGGGGTTGTGTGGACCGTGTGGGGTGAGAGTACTGCTGGATCCTGAACATGGGGTTGTGTGGACCGTGTGGGGTGAGAGTACTGCTGGATCCTGAACATGGGGCGGTGTTGACCGTGTGTGGGGTGAGAGTAATGCTGGATCCTGAACATGGGGTGGTGTTGACCGTATGTGGGGTGAGAGTTCTGCTTGATCACTTTTAGCAATTTTTCAGCACTATCACGTCATTGGGACATTAGAAATGGGCTTCACACATGTTACCAATGTTGGAAATCGAACCCTGGTGACAGGCTGAGGCTTTAACCACCAGGCTTCCCCACCACCCTGGATCAGATTGTGAATTGTGTAGTGTTGACATTGTGTTTGGGAAGTTTGCCAAGATGTTTTGCGCTGCCACTCTGCAAACATCAGTCATTACCAGTAGTCAGTTATCTCTCTCCTTCTTCCCCTCTTCCTCCACCTCCTCCCCTTCCTCTCCCCTCCATCTCCCCTCCATCTCTTCTCTTCCTACTCCCTTTCCATTTCGTCCTCGTATCCCCCTCTTCCACCTCCACCCCCTTCTTCCACCTCCACCCCCTTCTTCCACCTCCACCCCCTTCTTCCACCTAGCACCCCCTTCTTCCACCTCCACCCCCCTCTTCCACCTCACACCCCCTTCTTCCACCTCCACCCCCATCTTCCACCTCACACCCCCTTCTTCCACCTAGCACCCCTTTCTTCCACCTCGCACCCCCTTCTTCCACCTAGCACCCCCCTCTTCCACCTTGCACCCCCTTCTTCCACCTCCACCCCCTTCTTCCACCTCCACCCCCCTCTTCCACCTCACACCCCCTTCTTCCACCTAGCACCCCTTTCTTCCACCTCGCACCCCCTTCTTCCACCTAGCACCCCCCTCTTCCACCTTGCACCCCCTTCTTCCACCTCCACCCCCTTCTTCCACCTCCACCCCCTTCTTCCACCTACACCCCACTCTTCCACCTCGCACCCCTCTCTTCCACCTACACCCCACTCTTCCACCTCGCACCCCTCTCTTCCACCTCCATCCCCCCCGCCCAATGACAGGCTGGTCATACCACAGCAGTACATCATAACCATATACCATCAAACAAGCTCAGTCACAAGTAACAGGCCTAATTGGTCTGGTTTTGAAATCAATGATGGAGTCTAAGATAGACAGGCTGATCGCACTATGATGCTAATAAATACAATAGGGAAGAGGATTAGAGTGTATCTTGATCACATCAGGGACCTGGCTGGCAACACTGATTGGATTACCATGTAGCTGGGCTCAAACCGTGGAGGGGTTGATGAAGGAAGCATTGGACGCAGGTCAATGATGATAATGATGTCAAGATAAAATATTGATAGATACTAATTTCTTCCTAAAGTGTAGCCACTGTAGAGATTCTCAGGGAGAACAAGTCCCCAGTACCTGAGGTTTATTTTCAGAGCTGACTCAAATAGGGTGCTTACTATGCACCATATGATTTTTATAGTTTCTTTCCTTATCGTGTGTAAGGATTGTGCGTAAGATAAGGTCTCCAGTGCCTCATGTGTTCTCCAATGCCTAGTGCCTCATTATACCAGCTTGGGGCAATATCCTTTAATCTGGTTCCAAGGCTGAAGTAGACGTGTATTTCCCCCAACTGAATATGATGGTTTGAGGCTAGAAATCCATGGTAGTATGTAGAATAAGGATATGGCGGTGAAGGATCTGCTTCTATTCTCGCGTTATTCACCAGCCGTAATTTTACAAAATCAATGTCACATGCACGTATAAACATGGTAAAAAATACGGTAGTTAATGCTACATACTCAGGAATGTAATACAGGAGTATTACCAAACCATGTATATATTTATCAATGTAGATCTTCTGAATGGAACACAATTATAATTCAAAATCCAAAAAAATTCTTTTCTGATTTGCTATGCTCGGGCTTTGAGCAGTGACTATGTTACCAGTGGGGCTATCGCTGAACCTAGCATATCTCACAAAGGTTGTTCAGATAAGCTTGTTAGGTCACAGCATACACGCTCATATGTTTAGACACAAAGACATTGATTATAAATATAGCCAGACATTGCCAGTACTGGGCTATAGCTGCGATGAATTGAAATTTCCATTTGATTTTCTGCCTGCTGTTGTACGAAGAACTATTTCATTTTTTTGTTGGTCCGATTTGAAAGTTGAAGAGTGTTTATTTGTATGTAGGCCAGTGCCTGTAATATAACTGCTATAAATTCATGTTTTAATTACATTACTTTCAAAACAAAACTTGAAAAAATAATGAGTAACATGATTCTGAATCCAGATCATTTTTTTAAAGTGACATGTATGTTTTTAAATAATTACAATTATGGTCATCATGATTATCAAAATTTAAGAATTAAAACTGAAACTTTTTCTGTCCAGCCACTTTGTGATAATGAATTAAATATTTTAAGAAAGTGAGTGAGTATGATTTTACACCGCTTTTAGCAATATTCCAGCAATATCACGGCGGGGGACACCAGAAATGGGCTTCACACATTGTACCCATGTTGAGAATCAAACGCTTTAACCACTAGGCTACCCGACCGCCCCTATTTTAAGAAATAAAAATTCTGTTATTCTCTAAAGTTTACCATAAGTATTAGTAAAGAAATAATGTTATTGGAAAAAGTGTTGCCTAATGTGGGTTTCAAATGTGAAAATGACAAGTGACTTATAATAATGGAGTTGAGTAACAGTTTCTAGAGAGAAACTTGTAGCTTGTTTACTAAACACTGAGCAACCCATGCTTGCCATAAAAGGCGACTATGCTTGTCGTGAGAGGCAACTAAGGGGATCATGTGGTCAGGCTCGCTGATTTTGTTGATGCATGTCATCGTATCCCAATTGCATGGATCGATGCTCATCACATCAATCACTGGATTGTCTGGTTCAGACTCGATTATTTACAGACCGCCATCATATAGCTGGAATATTGCTGAGTGCAGCGTTAAACAAACAAAGAAACAAAACAAACTAAACACTGTCTGCAAAATGACAAGTGACTTCAAATAATGAAACACATGATGTTCTGATGAGTAACAGTTTCTAAAGGGGATCTTGTAACTTGTTTACTAAACAGTCTGATCTGTATTGTGGCTATGGTCTTCCTACTGAAGGACACACATATGAATCACAACACGCTGTTTTTTCAAAAGTTCACAAAAATCATGCTGACAGTGTGACCGCGGAGAAATCCGAAATTAAACATGACATATAAAACGTGGGTTTTGTAATACACTCAACAAAGCATGTTGTATATAAAAAGTTCAACATGTCCTTAAAAAGTTGTGTAAGAGGTTAGTTGTGTATGTTATAAAAGACTGTGTTGTTTGTCTCAGGTGCAGTGTATGTGTGCACAGAGGATGTGTTTCCCAACAAGAGGCTACACCAGGTGATCCAACACTTCACGAGGAAGTGGTCGCCGCCACGGCTGCAGCAGGATCTCGCTAATCTGGGAGATAACATCTTCGTGGAGCATGTGGCCGAGCGTGTAGGTCAAGGATTATCTGCTTCGCTATCACATAAACAAGAGTTTTTAGCTGTTTAAACCTTCGTACAAAATCTCTAGCAAAAACAAATCCAGATTATGGTGTTAAATCTTCTTTTGGTCCAATGATCATATATCATTTTCATACCGCAAATAAACTTAGTTGTTTATATATATAATTAATATTCTTGCATGTGAGATAAGAGACTAAGAGGTCTAAGACCATGATATGTGTTAACCAGTGTGTTGGTCTTGATTATATTTGATGCACAATAAACTACTAAATAACTAACTCAAAGGGACCACTAATTTTAGTTCATTGTAACCGTAATTCGTTGTAAGCATATATACAACATACATACAGCAAATGGCCGGGGGAAAATGTTTGTTATATCCATCAGGTCGTTATAAGTTTGTTCGTTATAAACGCAGTTTACTGTATAGGGTGGAATTATGACTTTGTAACTTAGAGAATTAACATGTCTTGAGCATTGTTTGTTTATTTCTTTGTTGTGTAACTCGACACTCAGCAATATTCCAGCTATAAGATACAATTCTGTAAACAATCAGGCCTGGACCAGACAGTCCAGTGATTGTTATTATGAACGTCGGGTACATTGACATGCCTTCAACCAAGACTGAGTCACAAAGTCTAAACACCGAACCATTTAGTCACCTCACACGACAAGCATAGGTTGCTGGGGATTACTCTAACCTGTAATCTGAATGTAAGGGTTAGTTGAGGAGCATGTTGTTTAATGGATAACAAAGTATTGTATAACTCAGGAAATTTTAAAAGTATATTTTTTATTGGCAATAAAAATGACTGACGTGTAGGATTTAAAGTGATACGCTGATTCCTGAAAAATGTTTCCAATTTTAGCCTTAACTTATTATTTATCAAAGGGGCGGTCGGGTAGCCTAGTGGTTAAAGCGTTCGCTCATCACGCCGAAGACCCGGGTTCGATTCCCGACACTGGTACAATGTGTGAAGCCCATTTCTGGTGTCCCCCGCCGTGATATTGCTGGAATATTGCTAAAAGCAGCGTAAAACCATACTCACTCACTCACTCACTATTATTTATCATAAGACTGAATTGCTATATATTCAGTTTCATTCGTGAGCTATTGTGTTCGTGTATCCTGGATGTTTCTGAATCTTCCAGGAGGGTCTGATGCTCTGTGTCCACAAGAAGATCCCCATCCTGCTGGCCAAGGGTATGGTGAAGTTAGTGGTCATCGACTCCGTCGCCGCTCTCTTCCGCTGTGAGTACGGGCAGGGGGAGACGGTGAAGCGGGCCAAGCACATGGCTTCTTTCGCAGCCCAACTCCACAAACTCGGGCAGCAACACAATGTTCCCATTGTCTGTGTCAATCAGGTAGGACGTATATGAGTAGAAAATACTGACTTGCCACTCTTAGTCGTAACACTTTTAGTCCACTAGTCCTTATAATGATAACATATAGCAAAACCCTTAAACATGGCAAATTGATACTTGTCCTTATGATACCTTAAATTTGGGCAGTTTGGTAAGGACTTTAGGACTAAAGTACTCAGGGAAATGAAAAAAACCTGGTTTTTTTATCTCAGATTTTAAATAAATGCAGTTAATATACAAAATATATAAATATTCAAACAACTCAATTAGTACTAATTGGGCCTTGGCACAAATACAGCGTATCAAAGGTTTTTATGTCTTTTTACACGTAAAAGTGTTAAAAATATGAACAAAACAGACTATTGTGAAACTGAGCATAACCAGGTGTTAGTAGATCAAGGTGAATGTCCATGACCTATGACACCTTGACGACAGGTGAAAACAGGTGCTTGAAACCCACGTGCATGTGATTTGTCAGTGGTTAGTGATTTGTGAGTGGCATTGTGGGATAGTGAATCATCGTCAAAATATCAGAACGTAAAAGTTACATATTCCCATCTCAAAAAACAACTTACATGTCATTATTATTGTGTACATAAACATAGCTGTTATTTTTATTGTTGTTTTGATAACTTTTTTCCAGGCTAATTTGCATAATGCCTATAGCCTGTTTCTGCCATGTCAATTAGTTTTAAATGTTGAAAGTGCCTACAAATTACCTCCTGTAAAGTACATATTGTATTGAGCACTGAGATAAAACTAGCAAATCCAGACTAGTACTTTTCCAGTTGTTTTGTTATTTCGTATTTACATCTACGTAATGCTTTGTGTCGATTATTAAATCTAGCAAAACAGTGTTTTTTTCATTTCCATGAGTACTTTAGTACCAATATTTAACTCTGTGTTGGTAGTCATAACTTGTTGTTTGTAATCGTAACTTGACTTTCATAATCATAACTTGCCATTCGTAGGTGTTTCTTGTTACTTGTAGCTGTAAATAGCAATCGTAGTCATAACTTGTCATTCGTAGTCGTAATTGCTATTTGTAGTCGTAAGTTGCAACTCTTAGTTGTAGCTTGGTATTCGTAGTCGTAACTTGTCATTTATAGATGTTATTTGTCATTCGTAGTTTTAAATACCACTGATTTAATCGGTTCTCATCATTAGTGTCGGATAAAGCCGATTGTCGGATTAACGAGTGCCATTCGTAGTCAGTATATGCCATTCATAGTCATAACTTGCCATTCCTAATCGTAACTTGCCATTCCTTATCGTAACTTGCCATTCGTAATCGTAACTTGCCATTCCTAATCATAACTTGTCATTCGTAGTCATAACTTGCCATTCGTAATCGTAACTTGCCATTTGTAATCGTAGCTTTCCATTTGTAGTAACTTGCCATTTGTTGTCGTTAGATGTGTTTTGTAGTCGTAACTTGATGACCCGACCCCTTCTAGGAGGGTGGTGGCCTGAACACAATGGCCAATGTCACAGGGTACACAAGAACAGAAGAAAAATGAAATCACTCCTAAAGTTACAAAAGTTCAGGCTTCTTTTCTTTTTTTCTCATAATAAATATGTGAAGGTCATGCATCTATCTTGAAATCTGTCTAAACTTTTAATGATGTACTTTTCTGAAGAAATAAACACCTTTTGAAGGAAAATATATTTAAGCCAAACCATTTGGGTGACAAAATGTAGTTGAGAATATAAAAATAACACACACTCAAGAATATGTAGGTTCTGGGTAAGTGTATGAGATTGGTATGATGTAAGCTCTTGTTGTTCAAATATAGCAGAGAGCCCTGCATGACTGACAGTTGCAGTGCTTAAAATGGTGGTATGGTGGTATTTATGTTACACAACAGATGGTATATGGTATATATGTTATAATACTGATGGTATGGTGGTTTATGTTATACAATTTATGGTATGGTGGTATGTATGTTATAATACTGATGGTATGGTGGTATTTATGTTATACAATGCATGGTATGGTGGTATATGTTATAATACTGATGGTAGGAGGTATTTATGTTATACAACATATGGTATGGTGGTATTTATGTTATAATACTGATGGTATGGTGGTATATGTTATAATACTGATGGTATGGTGGTTTATGTTATACAATGTATTTATGTTATGTAACACATGGTATGGTGGTATATATGTTATAATACTGATGGTATGGTGGTTTATGTTATACAATTTATGGAATGGTGGTATATGTTATAATACTAATGGTATGGTGGTTTATGTTATACAATGTATGGTATGGTGGTATATGTTATAATACTGATGGTATGGTGGTATTTATGTTATAATACTGATGGTATGGTGGTATTTATGTTATGTAACACATGGTATGGTGGTATATATGTTATAATACTGATGGTATGGTGGTATTTATGTTATGTTACACATGGTATGGTGGTATATATGTTATAATACTGATGGTATGGTGGTATTTATGTTATGTAACACATGGTATGGTGGTATGGATGTGTCACATGGTTGTATTTATTGGTTACTTGTGATGTATCAAGGAGCCAGTGAGACAGGCAGGAACTGCCTTTTCAGTGTAGATTCCAGTGTGCTCAGATAGGACATAGTGTATATAGTTTGTTTGTTTGTTGGTTAACTACACACTCAGCAATATTCCAGATATGACAGCAGTCTGTCAATAATCAATATTATGAGCATTGGTCCATGCAATTGGGATACGATAACATGCATCAACCATGTTTCTTATGACAACAGGGTGTATACAATATTCACAACAATATGATGATGTGGCCTTTATTATTTACATTCCAATCTGTCCATTTAAGTTCTGTTTTTAGAAATACATTAATCAGATATGCTGCTCTGAATGCTCACTCATACTTAGAATTCAGAAGCCTCAGCAGTGATTGGATGATTGGAATATTGTTAAACACAGTGTTAAACCACTCACTCACTCGCTAACTCACCAACTCACTCACTCATACCACTGTAAATAGTCTGGACTATACTGTTTTTGATAACTTGACAATGATCCATCAAGGTACATAACATATGGCAGCTACTACATAATACAATCTGGACCAGACGGATGATATATTTGTATCTGTTCTCGGGACAGACAGGGATGATATGTATCTGTTCTTGTACCAGACTGGGATGATATGTCTGTTCTTGGATCACACAGGGATGATATGTGTCTTTTCTCAGACCAGACAGGGATGATATGTATCTGTTCTCAGACCAGACAGGGATGATATGTGTCTGTTCTCAGACCAGACAGGGATGATATGTATCTGTTCTCAGACCAGACAGGGATGATATGTATCTGTTCTCAGACCAGACAGGGATGATATGTGTCTGTTCTCAGAACAGACAGGGATGATATATATCTGTTCTCAGACCAGACAGGGATGATATGTATCTGTTCTCAGACCAGACAGGGATGATATGTGTCTGTTCTCAGACCAGACAGGGATGATATATATCTGTTCTCAGACCAGACAGGGATGATATGTATCTGTTCTTGGACCAGACAGGGATGATATGTATCTGTTCTCAGACCAGACAGGGATGATATGTATCTGTTCTCAGACCAGACAGGGATGATATGTGTCTGTTCTCAGACCAGACAGGGATGATATATATCTGTTCTCAGACCAGACAGGGATGATATGTATCTGTTCTCAGACCAGACAGGGATGATATGTGTCTGTTCTCAGACCAGACAGGGATGATATATATCTGTTCTCAGACCAGACAGGGATGATATGTATCTGTTCTTGGACCAGACAGGGATGATATGTATCTGTTCTCAGACCAGACAGGGATGATATGTATCTGTTCTCAGACAAGACAGGGATGCTATGTGTCTGTTCTCTGACCAGACAGGGATGATATGTATCTGTTCTCAGACCAGACAGGGATGATATCTGTTCTCGGAACAGACAGGGATGAAAGGTATCTGTTCTTGGACCAGACAGGGATGATATGTATCTGTTCTCAGACCAGACAGGGATAATATGTATCTGTTCTTGTACCAGACAGGGATGATATGTACCTGTTCTCTGACCAGACAGGGATGATATGTATCTGTTCTCGGACCAGACAGGGATGATATGTATCTGTTCTCTGACCAGACAGGGATGATATGTATCTGTTCTCAGACCAGACAGGGATGATATGTACCTGTTCTCTGACCAGACAGGGATGATATGTATCTGTTCTCAGACCGGACAGGGATGATATGTATCTGTTCTTGTACCAGACAGGGATGATATGTGTCTGTTCTCAGACCAGACAGGGATGATATGTATCTGTTCTCAGACCAGACTGGGATGATATGTATCTGTTCTCAGATCAGACAGGGATGATATGTATCTGTTCTCGGAACAGACAGGGATGATATGTATCTGTTCTTGTACCAGACAGGGATGATATGTATCCGTTCTTCGACCAGACAGGGATGATATGTATCTGTTCTCGGACCAGACAGGGATGATATGTATCTGTTCTTGTACCAGACAGGGATGATATGTTTCTGTTCTTGTACCAGACAGGGATGATATGTATCCGTTCTTGGACCAGACAGGGATGATATGTATCTGTTCTCAGACCAGACAGGGATGATATGTATCCGTTCTTGGACCAGACAGGGATGATATGTATCTGTTCTCAGACCAGACAAGGATGATATGTATCTGTTTTTTGTACCAGACAGGGATGATATGTATCTGTTCTTGTACCAGACAGGGATGATATGTATCTGTTCTTGTACCAAACAGGGATGATATGTATCCGTTCTTGGACCAGACAGGGATGATATGTACCTGTTCTCTGACCAGACAGGGATGATATGTATCTGTTCTTGTACCAGACAGGGATGATATGTACCTGTTCTCAGACCAGACTGGGATGATATGTATCTGTTCTTGTACCAGACAGGGATGATATGTATCTGTTCTCGGACCAGACAGGGATGATATGTATCTGT